AATTTTTAAAATTTTTTTTGTTTAGTTTTTTTTTTTCTTTTTTGGGTTTTTTTTTTTTTTTTTGTTTAATTTCTTTTTGCCATTTATACAGTGTTTGGGAGGTGCTTCCATAACCTTGTTTCTCTAAGACTAAAGCTGGAAACTTTATCCCACTTCCACATTAACTTTGATTTTAATTTGACTGTCAGAAGTGTTTATTTCTAACCAGCACTTTTAGTTTCTAAAGATCTTCTCTCTCCACCAGTGCTTTTCTTTCAAGTCACTGTATCTAATGAGAGGCAGCAATTAAAGCCTCACATTAAAACTTGGCTAAACTGATCAAAGATAGTGTCTGGCAGGAGATTCCCCTTGGTCCTTAGGATAGGATGTGACTAATTCACCTTTTTATGGCTCCAGCTGTGTTTGCTGTAAAAGCTGTGCTCACTCCATTGTTTAGGAATGTAATTAAATTTAAGAGAGGTTTAATGCAGCCAGTCCATGTGAGGAAGCAAATGACTTCTGAGATTCCTTGAAGACTGACTGTATAATGCTCATAAAACTCCTCCTTTGTTTCAGAACTTCTATGACTTCACAAAAAAAGTGAAATCTGGCGCTTGGCAGAGGCAGAAGGAAACATCTGGATGCTTTTGATCAAAGATGTTTAAGGAAAATGAGCCTGCAGAGCATCAAGAATGGCACAGTTTGAGGAAGAGAAAGGAAGAATGAAACTCTCCTCAGCAGAAGTTGGTAAATTTGGGGGGAAATCTGCTGTGTAGTTTCTTATTCCTCCAATAAAGCTTAATGCTTACACAGAACATTCAAATAAGTTGTTTTAAATACTGGGGTTTTAAGACTGAAGCTGAAATATATCTAAAATTAAGAAAATTAGCTGAAGGATGGTCTTCTACAACACGTGGCAGAACTGTGTTAGTAAATGGAAGCTAAATGATTTTCTTACTATCCAGAGTTCAGCTTTCTGCAAGAGTAAATAATTTCTTTGAGCAGTGGTTGAGTGACTGGAAACACTCAGTGTCTGAGCTAAAAGAGTGATTTATCTTCCATTGCTTGCTGAGTGCTGCATTATGTTACAAATCTAAAGCTATTCAATAAATTACAAAGAATTTCTGTATTTTTTTTTCAGGGATGTGATTTCTGCAGTTTCCTGAGCGCACAGAAGAGTGGAGAGGACCTTCTTTGCCCATTTGCTAGAGAACAGTTGATATTACATTTGACAATCCTGTAATCCCATTTATATCCAGCTTGCTGCTGGCCACCTGTGAGCAATTTTATTCTGTGGCTTTTTGTTTTCATCTTGAGAGCACTCATTTGTCTGTGCAAGATGATTCCCTTGGACTGCCTCAGGATCTTGGGCCCACCACAACAGCTGGGTGCTTAATTCAGACACTTGGAGTTACTGCATCCTGATTTTTGGTGGGAGTTTCAGTCTGTGGGATGAATCCTGCGCTCAGAAAATTGCTTTTCATGCTGTGCTGTTTGCTGCCGTTGTCCTGTGAAGGTGAAGTTGTGTCCCAGTGCATGCAAAATGAAAAGTAAAGGAACCTGACTGGCTGACTGCTCTTTTGGACAGCAAAATGAAACAGTCCTTAGCTGCTGGTAATGGTAGCAGCAGTGTTTTCTTGATTTCATAATCCAGACAAAATGATTTTGGTGTTTAAATTCCATTTTAAGGGGTTTGGGAGGGGATGTTGTCTCCTGTAACATGGTCCTGCTCCTGTGATCTCCAGCTCAGGTATTTACATTTTTCCCCTTTTTCAGTGAATTTCCCAGGCTCTGCAGTGCCAAGGGATGCTGGGGGGGCTCTGCTTTGGATATTTTGCATCAGATCCCAACATTTCAGTGCTTCTGGAGGGCTGAGGTGTTTGTAGGGGCAGGGATGTAGGGAGGTGCTGAGATACCACTGCAGGCTCCACTGAATATCAGCTTTATCAGCTCCTCTGACTTACCTGGTGCCCTGCTGGCCAAAAATATTCTTATTTGGATGTACATTTTTGGATTTTTTTTTTTAATGGATTTTTTTCCAAAACCTCTGTCGAGGTTCTGTTCTGTGAGGTGTGGGTGACATTTGCTTTCTGAAAGCTGAGATTTGTGGCCACTGTGTAATACTGAATTCTCTGTGTCTGACCTGGCCATGTGCACAAATTCTCTTTTCTCTGTGACTGTGCATGTGTGTATAACAGAAATAGGGGAGGTTGCAGAGTAAGGCTTTTGTAAGAGTTTTATATTCAGATTTAATAGCTGGAGTGTAGTGAGGTTTTGAGCCAATTGATGAAATTAAACTTTAAAGGTTCTATTTGAGCAGAAAAATAAATTTTTCTCTCTTACTCCATGCACTGTTGAAGTGTTGATATTGTGTTTATGTCCAGGTATTACCTAAGGCAGAGGTGAAAAGCTGTGCTTGGATTTTCCTGGAATGAGATTATGTTTAGGAGTGCTTAATTAATGACAGAAGGGGAATTTACATGTGCACTTCTTTAGATCAGTGATGCACATTTTCATGGTGTATTTTGAGAGTTGAGATGGAAGTTGAGACTCTGTTTTGTGAAAAGAAAATGAAATAAAAGGCAGGAACGTGACCTGAATTAAATAAGTCTATTCTTATCTTGAATGATAAAAAGAACAGGGACTGGTTGAAATCCTGCTCTGACACAAAAATTCTCCACAGACAGACAGTGAAACCTGAAATCTTTGTTCCTGAAAAAATCATGGAATATCCTGAGTTGGAAGGGACTCACAGGATCATTGAGTGAAGCTCCTGAACCTGCCCAGGATAACCCCAAAAATCCAGAGAATTCAGAGAATCCTGAGCCTGAGAGCATTGACCAAATGCTTCCTGAGCCTAAATCCAGCACTTCCAGCCTCCACAGTCCAAAGCCTCAAAGAGCAAAAGGAATCAAAGTGCAAATTTCATTTTACAGCAAGGACAGAGGCCTGAGCGTGTTCTGTAAGTGCTGATTTCCTGGGTGTAACCTCCCAACTGCCCTAAAATGACGCAAATATGATCAATTTAAAATGTGCTCCAAAAGCCAGATATCTGGGAAGAAATTTTCCAATTTTATTTCAGCACTGCTGCAGGATGCTGCCTGAGAATAATGCCCAACTGTGATGGTGTTCACAGGGAAGAGATGAGGATTTGACTCCATGTTTCAGAAGGCTGATTTATTATTTTATGATATTTATTCTATTAAAACTATACTAAAAGAATAGAAGAAAGGATTTCATCAGAAGGCTGGCTAAGAATAGAATAGAAAGGAATGATAACTAAAGCTTGTGTCTCAGACAGAGAGTCTGAGCCAGCTGACTGTGATTGGCCATTAATTAGAAACAACCACATGAGACCAATCCCAGATGCACCTGTTGCATTCCACAGCAGCAGATAATCAATGTTTGCATTTTATTCCTGAGGCTTTTCAGCTTCTCAGGAGGAAGAATCCTAAGGAAAGGATTTTCCACAAAAGATGTCTGTGACACCCAACCTCTCTCCTGGCTGCAGAGAAGGATGAGGAGAGGACAACACAACACCTGCACCTGGCTCTTCAGCAGCATGAGGCACCTGGGCACAGGTAAAAAGCTGCACAAATAATGGAAACTGAAGCAGGAACACATCAGTGATGGGAGAGCCACGGAAGGGCCTCAAGGCAGCCCTGCCACCTGATGGAGAACCAGCCACAGCTCTTCAGCTGCTGGAGCAAATGGAAAATCCACTCTGAGACACCACTGGGTGATGTGGGACGGACAGCTCAGGCCCTCAGTGCTCACAATTTTGGCCACATCCACCTCCATGCTTTTATAGGAACACCCACTTGGACACTTGGCACCAGCAGAGAGAGCTCTCACAAGGAGAGAAGTGTGGATTTGGATTCCCCAGCAGCACAAGTTTTGCCTGCCTTGATAGTTTTTTAATGTGTTTTATTTTTGCTTTCCGTGTCTGATGGAATTGTTGAAATGAGTGATGTCGTGCAGCAAACTTTGGGATGCCTAGGGCAGCACTCAGGCACACTGAGTGGAAATATTAAAAACCTGTCAGATGGGAAAGGGCTCCTTCCTTTCTGAACTGCCAATGTTTTATACACTGCCAGGAACACCTCTGCTGCTCCTGTGCTACCTCAGCTGCTACTGATGAAATTTGGTTTTCACTCACCCAGCTCCAGTCGTTGCTTAAGGGCCTGAAGGAGATGATTACTTAAGTCAGGGAGCAATTTAAGGGAGGTGGAATGTGAGCAGCTTTCTAAGGAAGAGGTAATGGAGTTGGGTTTAACTCTTGCTGTGACGGCAAAAAAATGTTGCCTTTCCTTCAGAGGATGTGTCTGTCCCAGGTAGCTGTGCGTTTTCCTGATTTATTGCAGCTTCTCCTGCTCAGTTTGTGCAGGGAGCGAGGTGAGAAGGAACCCGTATCTCTTCCAGGAGTGGCCACAACATTTCTGCTTCATTGTCTCTTTTCATTTCTCATTTGATTGAGAGAGAACCATCTGTGACTTTGAATAAACATTTAAGTGCAGGGAGTAACAAACCAGTGTTGTATGGTTGGTAACTTTTTCTGGTGAGTATTTCTGTTTATTTAGGGGCTCAGAGGGAGCTCTGCAGAGGCTTTTTGCTGCAGCCTGGGATGGTGGCAGTGCTAAGGCTGGTGTCAAGCCCTGCTTAGAGTCCTTATGGTCTGCTCAGTGTGCTGAGAATGGCTGATCTCTGCAAATAAATGTCATCTGAACAGTTTAGCAAACAAATATGTCAGGGGCAGGCACAGCTGGAGGTCATGTTGAGAGAATTTCATCCTAAAGCAATAAGTTACATGGGTAGGATGAAATAAAGGCATTTCCAAGAGCTGTTTTTGTCATATTTAGATCCAAGTCCGGGTTTTAGGTATTTGCTCCTAAGTTTGTCTGGATGTTGAACATGGGGGAGAAGAAACCTTAGAGAGCATTTCCCTCTTGTGGAGCTGTTACTGACTGAAAACAAAGTATAAATTGCATTATTGATTGTAATTTCATACTGAGAAATTTAATGAAGGCTTTTAAAAAAGATTTTCTATCCATTCCTTCAAAGGAAGGGGCTCCTTCATTGAAGCCTTTAATGTCATTAAAGTCTTCCTCAACTCCAATACCTCAAAGTGTTAGAGAACAGGAAAAAGAGGAGATTGTTCTGCCATTGTTTGGTTGAAGAGGAAAATTGAAATTGTGTGTCAGGCTTTGAGGGTTCAGGAATATAATATTGACTGAATGAGACTTCTGCAAATGGCTTCTAATGTTGGAGGTGTTGTCAAACATAAAAGCTGTGCCAGGACTTCCCAGGGCATTTAATTTTGAGGAAGGCAGGTCTAGAAAAAAGGAATATTCCTTCTGCAAAAGCAGAAGCAAAGCCTTGAGTGCATTTTCAAGAGAAAACAAGTTGCACAACATCAGTGCAACAATGCACAATCAACAGGAGATTCTGGAGATGCTCCTTTTTGTAAATTCAGCAGCACCACAGGGGAGAAGTGCTGAGCCTTTGAAAACCAAAAATCCCTGCCTCTGAAGGCACGTTAGCAGCATGGGTTCAGCAATTTTAATAACCAGCTTTGCTTGGAAACTTGCTGTTGTGTGGTTTGCTGACACGAGTGCCATGAAAAGGTTTGTAAATTGGGTCCTGGAAGACTGGCAGATGGAATTGCAGAGCTTCCATGCTGGATTCTAAACAATTCTTACTGCATCCACACACAGGTGTGCTTCTGTAGCCCTTTAAAATTACCTCTAATCCAATTCCTGCCCATGGCCCCCATTTTAAACGTTTTTGGGTTTTTTTCTGTAGGTGTCACTATAGCATAGCAGATAGAAACCACTATCCTTAATGAAAATGTAGAATCCCCACAGATCTGAAGGAAGCTGTAATCTGGTTTTCTGTGCCATGGTTGTCATATCAACAATGAGGTTTCTCAGCAACTAACAGAATATTTTATAGATTTATTTACTTATCCTTTTTAATAATGAACTTGATACAAGAGAATTTTTTCCCCTTTATAATTACGTAGCAATTTAGAAAGTCTTCCCAAATCATTTACATTTTGCTGTCATGTTAATACCAACAGTTAAAATGAATCTTGTTAATAAAAGGAAAGCTGATAGGATTTATGAATGCACCAGAATGTAGCCATATTATGTTGCAAAACTTTTTGTATTTCTACTTAACTGATTGCTGAAAGAACAATTTGTGTGTATGGATTTGATGGTGTTGCTGTTTAGGATGTAAACTTGGCTCGGTGTGTGTTGTTCTGTCTGCTTGCATAATTTCTGAAAGTATTGAACAGAGCTTGCTTTTAAAATTAGGGTTGAAGGAAATGCCTTGAAACCTGCTTTTGATTGCCAGTATTAATCATAGAATCCTGGAGTGGTTTGGGATGGAAGAGACCTTAAAGCTCATCCCATTCCACTTTGACAATTCCACTATCCCAGGCTGCTCCAAGCCCTGGGTTCCTACACACTCCATCCTAAGTAGAAATTCCCACCTCCTAAGGAGCAAATTGCTGCTTTCTGCTGGTTAAGGCACAGCTTTAGTCCTTGCTTTCAAAGAGAATTGGAATTTTGCCCCAAATTTTGCCCCAGTTTTGCCCCATAATGTCCTTGTGGCACGTTAATTTGGCATGGTTTGCCTTCCTCTCCTTCTCCTGCTCTGCAGGATGCTGAGGGGAATGATGTGGTCTGGAATCCTCTGCAGGGAGATTTTGCCCTGTTTTCCCTTCTCTGGAGAGTTGTTTTGATTGTTGAGCCATTATCTGATACTCTGGCAATCATTTAAAGCCAATCCATTTGCTCTTGTCTGGTGTCTGTGCTTGGAACATTTGGGGTCTCCAGGGTGTGAGGGCCCCTCTGGGATTTATTCATCTGCTCCTCGGGTTTGGATCCTTCAGATGCAACTTTAAAATCCTCCAGGCAAAAGGGAAGACTTGGTGAATTTCTCACCTAGGCAACGAGTGAGCATGTGGGTGGGTTTTTTTGGATGGTGATTTTGATTTAAGCTCTAAAAATCTGTGCAAAGCCTTTGGGAGCTGGGCTTGGCGTGCATTGCTAATGGATGAAATTGCTGGAGATGCTGAGGGATCACACTTCCTCGGGGGCTTAAATAAGAGCTGGAAACCCAGCTCTGCCCTTTGGCCTCTCAGGGAGTAGGTGTGTTACAGACACATTTCTTGCACTCAAACTGTCTTGGATTTCCACTCTGTTCAAATTACTGTGTAATTTATACCACACCTCCTAATAAACTCTCCCTCTGCTTCCTTGGAGAATACAGCACTTGAAGTTAATTAAATAGAGGAGCTCTGTGAAGCTCAGAGAAACTGGAACAGCTCTGATTGTCTGACTGTAGGAGATCATCTCAAAGAGGTGTTTGGGCACTTATTAGCAAACTGGGAAATTACATGTGAAGAAGCAAGAATTGTTGATGCTGTGCAAAATCTAAGGAAAGATCTTCGTCCAGTTCTTTAAAAAGGTGCTCAGGGAACAGAGAGGAAAAGAAAAATCCAACTGGTGAGCAATCAAAAGAAACTTAATCTGCTTCACAGAGATAGATTTGCTCTGTTTGGGCATAGAAGTGGAGCTTTTATTTGCATATGAAAGATTTCTTAACTCACTGGCATAGAGGCTACTGGTTTG